TCAATCTTATTTTTCGAATACATTTTTTCTTCGTTGTCTTTACATTATATCTTGGGCCCGGCATGGCCAGGTGGATAAGGTACTCGACTCACAATCTGAGGGTCGCGGGTTCGAATCCGCATCCCACCAAACATGCTCGCCCTTTCAGCCGTGGGGGCGTTATAATGTGACGGTCAATCTCACTATTCGTTTGTAAAAGAGTAGCCCAAGAGTTGGCGGTGGGTGGTGATGACTAGCTGCCTTCCCTCTAGTCTTACACTGCTAAATTAGGGACGGCTAGCGCAGATAGCCCTCGTGTAGCTTTGCGCGAAATTCCAAAAACAAAAACATTATATCTTTGTCTTCTGCTTGTGTGCGTTTAAGTTTTTCTTTATATTTTATTATGACATCTTATTCTTGAACGAGATACACGCACTTAAAAAAATCAGATGAAGGGATTCTGAAGTCTTCCCTTTTATCGTATTCACAAATTATATTTTTGGATGATAATGTGTACATATAATATATATAAAGAGCCATGTTCATTTGTACGCCATTTTATTTCGTAACTGTCTCGTGTATTTTATACTAGGGATTTGTCGTTGAGCTCATTTAGTGAACTGTTTACTTGGTGTACAAGATGTATTAGGATTGATCTCTGGAAATAAAGAAAAGTTAGATTACCATACTTCGTGCTTCTGTAGCAAGTCCGAGGACCTATAACGCTAGAAATCGGGTTTCGATACCGGCGGTGGGCAGAGCACAGATAGACCATCGTGTAGCTTTACGCTAACAACAAAAGAAACAAACGATAAGCTTTCATTTATTTTTACGTTTTGGTTTTCTGATAATCAAATTTTTAGCACTCAGTTTATTTTCTCGTGGTTATTGACTGCTTGCAATGTTTAAAATGTAATAGTGTGAGACGATGAACAACCATAAACAAACACCAACACAAGATCGTAACATGTTGTTTCAATACAGCTACTCAAAGTTACTTGATATAATTCTTTGAAAGGAAGGGAAAAAATCACTAACGAATCAGTATATGAATACGAGAAACATGTCATTTACAGTTTCACGTTAGTCGGACAATGTCTCTCTCCGTTTTATTTTCATATTTTGAAACAGAGTTCTCATTTGGTGAAAAAAGAAAAAAAAAAAGTCAGCTAACCACGATAATTGTTTCAAGTCTAAAAAAATGCACTGCTTCTGTGTACTATTTGTATAAAAGTAAATAAAACACAACGTTAGGCCATAGCAGAATTTATTAATATTACTATCATGAATAAAACAGTAACAAGCACGAGACTTAGCGTGTGAGCCAGCAGTTGTCTTCATCTACACAGCCGGCAGAACAAATTTTTTTTAGGGGGGGGGGGCATATACGATTAGTGCACCTTATTTGTTATGTTTCCTGTGCCCATTAAATTGACAATTGAAACAACGACTTTCACAAATCTCCATTTCCCATTCAAAGGGGAACAAGCTCCCCCTCCCCATGTTCCGCCACCTATGTTCATCTATACAATACAAAAGCTTCGAAGGGATATTCTACACCACGAAGCTCTTTAGAATGTTAGGCCTAAAACAATAACACTGCTCGAATCCGTTTACAGCAGGGAATAAAAATAACACAAATATAAAACTAACACTTTCACAACTGCAAAGCATCCTGAAGTATAAATGACGGATAATAATAATAATAATAGTGATACAAATAAGGCATGGTTAACTTCTGTAAAGCTTTCTAAGAAACTAGGTTGATCAACGCAAGAATATGAAGTAAAGATAAACTGGATGTAGTAATACAAACAGCTTCCTTGAAATACTCAAGCTTTTTATCACGTCATTGACTTTTTCAAAGAAATCTGCCTACAAAAAAAATCGAACCATTGCTATGATTATACAAGTTGTGTCACAATTCACTGCATATCTTACTTATTTTTCTACAATACAAAACTGTTATAACTTCTTATTAATTAATAAAAAAATTATATAAAAAAACACCAAAGTTTCATATATTAGATATGGTTGATTAAAATTATATCACTAATTGTTTTATTTTACTGCAGCGAAATGTTCAGCAGGTCCATTTGGAGTATGAAAAACAAAAACTATATAAAATAATAATAATTTTAAACAGTAAAGGCTCCATGTTTCCACGTTTGTTTACTTTAAATACCTATTCATATAACAGCATAAATAAATAGCTGAAAACAAGGTTGTGTGTGTGTTGTAATGTAGACTTGAATTATACTAGTAAATAGAAAAACTTGTTTCTTGGCGTTAACGTTTCCACTGCATTGCTCAGTCTCAAGGTATAACAAAATATTAAATTAAATTAATGGCTCACTTTTCACTATTTTTTTTTATCATAATCAAACATTTTCCGATGTTATTTTCGAACGAGCTAGAAAAAAAAAAGGCGAATAAAATGTGAATTACGGTATACAAATAACAGTTTAGGTTACAAAGAGGTAACATCTAAGTAGCCCACAGAAAAATTATTTTATATACTAATCTCTTGTTTAACAGTACATTGGCTAAACAATGAACATACAGAGGTGTAACACATAATGCGAGAACGTTCCCAAACAAAGAAAAATATACAGTTGTATTTGCCTTTGTCAGATGGTTTTAAAATGTGACAGAATACTAAATAATTGGAATAAAACGTTCTTACTTTAGTGCTAGTAATTCTTTAGAACCAATATATTGCATTCCACATTCAGTTAATATATGCCTTTTTAATATCTTATTTTGAAGATCAGATTTGAAATGGTTAGAACCGTACAAAGACACAAGTTGCAACAAGTCACAAGAACGAGCGGCGATAGCGTTATATTGGTTAATCTGATATGTAACTGTGATTACAATTATTGAACGCAGTATACAACTTAATCAACTTTTAAACGTCAGGCAACTCATTGTCTCATATATCTTTTTAATTGATATATTCTAAATACAAAAAAAGTCAATAATATAACGATGTTTTTTGTTGCTGTTTTTCGAATCTGGAACACACCAATGAATTTTAATAATGCAGTTTTGGTATATTCAAAACAATATTATTTGTTCACAAAGGGCAATTGTTTAAAAACATTTTATGAGATAGGATTAACAATCTAATACTGTTTCTAAATGTGTTTTCGGTGTCATAATTCTGATACAACCTAAGTGCGCTTATAACCTAGAGATATATCAAACGAAGTGATATAAATTGAAAACTTTTTTTTTTTAATATCTGGGCACAAAATTTCTCCAGACTTTTACAAGTAACGTTATGTATAACAACTAGTTGAGAAAAATACAGTTTGGTTATTCGATTTATATAAAAGGTATAAAATTACAGTTACTTTAAAACGGTCGTTAAAATCCTGCAAACGATTTCATTAAGTTTTACACTAGTTAAGAATCGAGATTTTGTATGATTCGACGGAAGACTCTTTTGATAAGTACGAAGACTTTGTAAGGTATAGTTTATAAAACACAAAACTCGATAGATCTTAAAGAGATAGAGTTTGTAATTGCGTGGCAATGACGTTGCATTTCAATAGAATAAAAATTTATATGAATTTGGCTAAATTTCAAAGTTTTTTGAAAATAGTTTCAAATATATTTGCTAGTTTTGGCCTTCGATACAGCTAATTGGTTCCACAAGTTACTATATTCTGAAGTCAGAAGAACTGTAAAAACATCTACTTTTACTAGGAATGTAAATAAAAGATTGCTGAAAATAAAGTTAAATATTATAGAGAAAAAACACAGGAAAATGAAATGAAGTTTTAAATTGTTTTGACGTTTCACGAGCTTTCAATGTTATTCAATTTTTTTTGCAATAATTCTTTTACATCATTAAAATAAAAAAGAATATATAAAAAAAGCTTGCAGTTACTTTAACTAAATCAAACTTATCAATATCGCATATTAAAAAAACAAATACAAACTAAATACAAAAGAAAAAAAAATCTTGAAACTTGTTTATAAATTTCTTTTAACAATGAAGACGTTATAAAGTTAAAAATTCAACATCGATCAAATTGAAGTAAAATTTAAAAATTGGTTTTCTCGATTTTAAGTATAATAATCCGTCGATTATAATTTGTTCAAGACGTCGAAATCGATGTCATAGGAATGTGCTTTTGTGTGTGTGTGTGTTTTTTTAAACTACTTGACAGCTTTAATTCTCACATTTAAACTTATTAACAAACCCATTTAAATTTTCCCCGTTTCTAATAGTGGTGCCGTGAATATCGTTTTTTGAATCTAGTTAGTTTTTTGATTTCATGGGTTGTTACATAGTAAAACTTTACATTTGATTAAAATTAAAGGGGGAAACAGAAATCAGTTACGAAAACTGGTTTGCGAGAAGTAAAACCAAAATAAAAGTCGACGTTCCCCACTCCCCCATTTGTAATTATACATAACTCAATATCAGCTCGCATTCTTTCAAATACGCTAAAGTATTGTTAATAACTCAACTCAAAAGTTGTTTTAGAAATAAAATGAAACATTTATAATACAACCATTTGGTTTTATACGTTAGGGAAACGACCACATTCACTATCAGAAGGAAGAGTTGTATAACAAACTGAAAGCAAGAAACTCATTGAAATCTAGACTTTCGACAATAGCATCATTCCCACGTAGCCAAATGAAGGTTGTGATGGGTCAATCAGAATCACATCATTTTAGGAGTTTTGTAACGACCCTTACCAATAAGTTATAATTATTCTTCTACTTTTATAATTAAATACCAGGGTACCATTCGACAATCTACTAACAAGTCCAACAGGAACTAAAAGAAAATAATTAAGTTTATCTCTTCAGAATTCCAGTCGGTAGGCGGCGCAGCTTGTCTCGTGATCTTGGAGATTGATGGTGCATCTATCGGCCGATGGAGCAACTTCTATTTTATTGGCAGCCAATATTTCTTGATTTAGGGCTATCCAATAACCCAAAGCATCAGTTTCGTGTGTTGGAATAATGGTCACTTCAGCATCTTTATCATTCCAATCTTTCTTAGCTTCTAATAGAGCATTGAATGCTTCTTTTGTTGGATTGGTGCCACTAAATACGTAATACCGTGCTCGTATTTTCCTGAAGAATTCCACATCGCAATAATTCGGATCTCCATGGTTTGGTACGTATGTCAAATCGACGTAAATTGGGTTTACAAGTCCATTTGCAGTCAAACCTTTAGATTTTCCTTGTAAGTTTGTCTTCTCAGTTCTAGGAGATACAGCTCTATCAGATGCTGTAGGCGTACTTTTTCCGTTAAGCAATCCTTTCTTGACATTATGATTTGATATAGACTTAGTCGGAGCAACAACAGGCGTTTTTGTTGATCCTTTAATGGTTGTTTTAGATGCCATTTTGTTTCGCTTAGTAATGTCTTGAGAATCGGGTGGTGTAGGCAAGCCCAATGGCTTATCCCAATTATCCAAGTGGAATTCCTCGTCACTCCTGTTAAACCCTGAAGATTTGGTATGGATCGTTGTTGCACTATCTTCTTGTAACTTCTCGTACTCATTTGACTGATCATCGAACGTTGGGTTCTGAATACCACCAAATTGTGACTGATGGGGAAATGTTGAGTACGAATGTCCACTAGAGAAATCACTTATTTCCCTGGCATCTTCTTGGTAATAGCTTCTGTTGCTATAACTATAATGAGAAGCCTGCTCTCCATAATACGGATTATCTTCATCTTCCGAGGAAGAGGAAGTACTATCACGCGTTATGAAGCTGTTAGGTTCTTTATCTGCTATATTGAGTGGCAGATGGTGCTCTTCATAATTAGCTTGATCTTGAATCACTGCTGCTGTAGAAAACAGTTGATTAGCAGGAACACTGTCTGATCCATAACTATCAATATCTTGCAAATGACCGTGTTCTATCAAATTTGATGAATTTAACCCCATTTCTTCCTTATTAGTTAGATCATGCATAATTTCAGTCTGACTTGTCTTTGGATCATCAGCTTTCTCACAATCTCGCGTATCATCCTCAAAGTAAGTCGCCTGTAGATTCTCTCTCGCCAGATCAGTGGGGACTGTTCGAAGTAATTCGCTTGAGGAATAGTGTGAAAAAGAATCTTTATCACTACAAGTTAGTTCTTTATATGCAAAAGTTGATTCGTTATGTTTGATATCAGTACTACTGACCCCAAACGAATCTTCACAGTATTGGTGGGATAAAGACAATGAGGTCAAATCAGAACCCTGTTCATATAGAAAACCCTCTTTCTGACAATCAGCTTTACCTCCAAGGAATTCTTGCTCACTTTTGTCCCAAGAGACGTCTTCAGTTTTACATTCAAACGTACTTTCCTTGGAATGCTTTTGAGAATAGAAATCTCTCTCTTCGTTAAGGTTTCCACAATTTCCTTCTGTATCACGTTCTCTCAAAATATGTGGAAAAGCACTCATTTGCTCACTTTCTTTCTGCTCCAACTTTGTTTCACTCATGTTTTCCAAAAATTCTATTTTCTTTTCTTGCGAGATGTGGTGATCTACCGAATGGTCCCTTTGAGTTTTGGCTGGTACTTGCTGTTTGGCATCTAAAGGAGACTGTGGTTCGGAAGGAGTAGTGCCTTCCGAAATGTTGACCATTTCTGGGTAGTTTGCCTTCAGTGTGTTTCCATAAACTGGCTCTTCTATAACTGGACTTCCTGATCTCTCTGATTCGTCTTCTTCAGATTCTTCATATAATGGTTGTTCAGTTAGATCTTCACATGTTTGAGAATGGTGGCCCGTAACGTCATACTGTAAGATATAGCTGCCCGATTCAATGTGATCCTCTTTTAACTGAGCATCAGGTCCCACATGTTCATAAAAATCTTGATCACCTGGCGGAGTTGGGTATCGAATCATCTCGCCATCATCCTCATCAGATATTTCCTGATGTTGTGAAAGTTGTTTTTCTTCAAGTTTAATTACATCATCGTGTGTAAAATACATTTCATCCTGATTCATGGATTGAGCTATTATCGTTTCTTTTTCATTATGAACAGTATCTATAGCCTCTTTAATTTCCAAATTCTTCTCATGGCTGCTATTAGGAAAACCTTCACCAAAAGACTGATCAAACGATTTTTCAGCTTCTCCACAAGGAGTGCCATCTTCTGGAAGAATGTCATCACTCACAGCATCTAAAGTTTCAGAAGCCGAATAATCTTTTTCTGAAGTATGTGGTTCTGACTTAACACCTAATTGACTGCCCGGGACATGTATATGATCTTTTGCTAACTCAAAATTTTTCTGAAGGTCTAAGTCATTTTCCTGAGGAATCATTTCTTGTTCTTTTGTATTCTTTGCAGTTTCTTCTGCTTGCTTTTCTAGAGGGTCCAAGTACAAAGATTCTTTTATTTCGTCTCTGGTATTCCTACGATCATCATCATCATTAACAAAATCGACTTGATGATCGTTCTTGTAATCTGATAATTCAGAGTCATGTTTAATTATGTCAAAATCGTTACTACTTTGTTCGTTAGAAGTCCGATTCGTGAGGTTCCCAGTATTGTCCTCTCTATAATTATGATTGAAATTGTCTAGAGGAAAAGTTGATTCTTGTTCTTCGCTAGCAAGGCTATCTCCATAGACAGAAGGATAGCCAGTGGAATCTATGCCAAATATTTGTTCACATGCATTCCGTTTTAGAGATTCTTGTTCAGTTACGTCTAATATATCTTCACTGGTTGTCTTAGCAATAAAACAAGAACTGTCTTCAGTTTGGTGAATCAGCTCAGGTTCGTTCAATTGATTTTCAAGTTCTCTTTCTTGAACACCGTTATCAAAAAAAGCAACATTAGTCTGTTCCTGTAGGAATGACCCTGTCTGAAGGTCACACAGGTTTTCTTCGTTAGTGAAGGAAGAATTTTCATATTTTTCAAAGTGAGTAGCTTGACGTTTCTCTATCTCGGATATTTTGTTTTCAAAAGGTATTCCTGCGTGAAACTCTTCATTCTGATCGAACTTTGGGTCGGAAATGCTTAATACCGATTCACTATCCACAGTTTCTTCAGCAAGCTTAACTTCTGTAATTTGTTCCTTTTCTTCTATATTCGTCTTTTCATTCAATTCATCAAAACTCTGTTCATTTGTAACCGTACTAGCCGATATTTTAACTTCATTATCATTCAGACTGTCAAAACCATCTTTATCTTGTTGTAATAGTTCAGGTTTATCTAGTACTTGATTGTCATCTGATATAGTTTCTTTATAAATATCTTGATCCTTTAAAAATAGTGGTACCTGTTGGCTCAACCCTGGCGACTCAAATTCTTCAGCTGTTCGACCTTGTTCTGATATTCCAATATCACCACCATCAAAAGCATGAAGATTCTCAACTGTATTTTGACATATTGATTTTTCGACATCCTTATATATCTGATCGTCATTTTTCACTATTGATTCTCCACCTACACTCAAGTCTAACCTTGTATTACTATTATCAGTAAAACCTCCATCAAAAGACTGTTCAACTCTGCCAGATTCAACAGATTTGATATTATCAAAATTTCCTTCAGTTTCCTCATTAATTCGTGTCCTCTGTGAATCTTCCTCGGAGAGGCCTTTCTCTACTTGGTCTAATCCCTGGCATTTAGAGTTAGACACATAATTGTCAATGGAATCTAATTTATCTTTATTAGTGATTCCATAATTCATCTTGCTCCATCCTATATCCGTATTATCCACTACACTACCAACCGTATTGTCCACCACACTACCAAACCGAGCTTCTTCCTTGTCTCTGAAAACACGCTCAGTGTAATCAATCTTTTCATCGCTAGTTTTGAACAAAAATTCACTTTCAGCCTTTCCCTTTTCTTGATCACCGAGCTCGATTTCAGTCATTCCATTCACTTTGTTCAGTCCTTGGTCTTGATCAATTTCCGTTTGAGCCAATTTTTGATCACTCAATACACTCCGAGTTGGAGTTACTCCTAAATGATTATCTTTATCCTTTAGCATATTTTCCGTCCGTATTAATACTTGACTAGTATCGTTTGTGTCATGCTCAGCGTGGAAACAGTCTTGTGTATTATCTGAGAAACTTCCAGTTTGTGCCAATCCCTCACTTTTATTAAGAGACACACCTTCCAACTCATTTTTACTATATGACGTTATTTCACTGTCAACCTTTACTTGGTCTTTGTCAGTTAACACACATTCAGTTTCGGTTATACCTTGGTCTTTGTCAGTTAACACACATTCAGTTTCGGTTATACCTTGGTCTTTGTCAGTTAACACACATTCAGTTTCGGTTGTACCTTGGTCTTTGTCAGTTAACACACATTCAGTTTCGGTTGTACCTTGGTCTTTGTCAGTTAACACACATTCAGTTTCGGTTGTACCTTGGTCTTTGTCAGTTAACACACATTCAGTTTCGGTTGTACCTTGGTCTTTGTCAGTTAACACACATTCAGTTTCGGTTATACCTTGGTCTTTGTCAGTTAACACACATTCAGTTTCGGTTATACCTTTGTCTTTGTCAGTTAACACACATTCAGTTTCGGTTATACCTTGGTCCCTGTCAGTTAACACATATTGAGATAACTGATCTGTTTGAGAGAATACTTTTTCATTTGCTTGATCCAAAGGTTCCGCCTCACTTGCTACTGCTTCTCGGATAATACTTTGATCATAGCTAATAAGATTTACATTACCAAAATCTCCACGGTCATCATTACTTGGTTGAGAGACTTCCTTTTCAAAAGAGTTTATGATATCCGTTTCTGTGTTCGCAACCATGTTAATCGAACTATTGTCTTGTTCCGTTTTTTGGACGTCTGTAGTAACGTTAGACCCGACTTTAAACTTCTCTTCAGTATCCAAACTTCCCAATGAAGATTTTCCCCCTATTTTTGAATTTTCTTCTAATCTAGCAGAAGCCAATTTATGTTCTGCTCGTTTCTTAATGTTCATCTCCGTTTGTTGTGGCTTTTTGACGGATTTAGAAGTAGATGGTTTTGTAGAGTGTTTCGGTGAAGATGTGGGAGTTTTCCCGCTCGTTTCTTTTGATACATGCGAGATTTTGGTTGGGGTTTCGGGTCTTTTTGTCTTTGGTTCAGATTTTGCATTTTTATTAGAAATTTTTGTTTCCACAGTTTTCTTGTTATTGATATCTTTAGCGCCTTTGGTCTTTCTCTCAACGCTGCTCACGGTTTTCACGGCGCTTTCAATCTTTTTTGTGTCCGAGGACTGTAATTCTTTCCCTTTACTTGAAGGTGTTCCAGTTTTGGAAACATCTTTATTTGATTCCAAACTTTTCCCATTAACTTTTGTTTCTAGCTTCTTCGAATCAATATTTTTCCTTGTTGAGCTTTTAGTGGGGTCAGATGGCCTTCTTTCTGAAGTAGTTTTGTTTATAACAGCATTATCCTTCTTGCCAGTTGCTGTCTGAGTCTTTTGAATGATTTTCTTTTGTGGCCCAGATGGCGAAGAGGTATTAGGTTTTGGAAGAACTTTAGCCACTGGTTTTTCAGCATTTTTTATCAATTTAGGTTTATCCCCAACCGTTTTCCGGAGTACAGATTGAGTGCAATCAAACTGCTGTAAAATTTCAAGATCTTTTATTGTTTCTAATCCTTCAAAAATCTTAGACTGTGGTGCATTTCCTGTGATTAAGATCCTGGTAATGGGGTCTTTAAGATTCGCAGGTCGCCATACCACAAGAGCAGATATGGATACTAAGTCTGATAAAGGTACCGAAACGTCTTCAAAATTCTTCATGCTATCTGTAGTGCTTGAAAAACTGTCTTTCTTAGAGCTCCACTGTTGAAAGAATTCTTTTACTTCCTTATTCTCTTTCGGTGGAGTCAAAACATACATATCCAAAGTACCATGACCCATCTTATGATACAAGGTCAGAGGATCGGTACCATTTTCTCGGAAACAAAGGTGTGGTTTCAGGTTCAAATTACTAAGATTATTCAGGAACTCGTGACCTTCGTCAAGAATACTAACGAGAAGGTCATCCTTGTCTTTTGGGACCTCGTCACAAGGGGAATCTTTCCCATCAGTGATATTACAGAAAATGTAACCAACATGTGGAAACACGTGTTCCTTTTGCTTCCTCTTAATCAATGATGTAATCCCATTTAGATTACTCTCGTTCACCCTCGTAATAATCATGGCATCTAGCCTGTCAATATGACGAACAAATTCCCAGAAACATGGCTTCCTCTCAAAGCCACCATCTACCAACATATTAAAACCACTGATTCCAAAGAGAGCACAGTTACCATCACCTCCTGGAAATACATATAAAGTTGGTCGACTGAAACGAATATTTCCTACAACTGCAGACGGTTTCATAATTTCTTCTAAAGAATGACTTATCAAAAACCTTTTCAGATACTGCACAAGTTCTTGAGAACCAGGAAAAGAAGATGTTATATCAGGGGGGTTTAGAAAAACACAAGTCATATTTTCTGTAATATTAGATTCGCACCAGTCTCCTTCAGCTGTACAATGAATATGCACAGAACAATCAGGAATCTTCATCAGTACACACTGAACATCGGGATCATTGAATATGTCAGTAAAGGCTTTAAAACTAAAAGCACCATCTCTGAGGATCCAGGAACCAGATCCAGTGAAGGCATAACCAGCATAAATGATGTGTTTATAAGCAGTTGAAGAAGAAAGCAAATTCTTCAGACACTGTTTAAAAACACTAACTTTTGGATTCAAGAGTACTTCCACTGCCAGTCTTTCTGTTGAATACTGAACAATAAAATCTGAAAATATAAACGAATATTTCACTTAATACAAGTTGTGTAAAATCGAATAGTTTTATTTGGTAAAAATTACTTTCCTAAATAATAGAATCTTAATTATTTTAGCAACAAATACAATACCAAAACATAACATAATAATGTTTTAAGAACAATACATTTTTTAACATGTAACAAATAAAAGACTTAATCAGAAGGATAACGATTTCCTTTAAACTTCACTAAGAAAAGTTTTTCCACACAAAACTTAATATTGCAAAACAGTCCCAGAAAACTGTCACAAGCAACACTAAGTAATATACGAAACTAACCTTTGTTTTAAAACAAAAATAGAAATGAAGATTTTAAATATTTTACCTTCTGGCTGTTCAGGGTTGAGCTCTTTATTGAATTCATCCTTCAGACCCGTTAAATCTGATCCAGTTTTGGTTACATCCCATGAAAGTAGTCCTATAAAAAGAAATAAATAATGTATGTATGTTTGTAATTAAGCACAAAGCTACAAAATGGGCTATCTGTGCTCTGCCCACCACGGTTATCAAAATCCAGTTTCTAGCATTGTAGCAAGTCCGCAGATATACCGATGTGCCACTAGGGGGGAGGTAAAAGAAATAAACTGACACAAAGGAAGTACATTAACACACAAATTACCCTCTTGAAATTATAAGAATAAATTCCCGAATATTAGTGTTTATACAACCACAGAGTTCGTTACCTAACCCGCAATCACTGAAAGTACGGTGACTAGCTAAAGATTTCTACAGCTTTTAAAGGTTAGGAAAGCGACAGTAGCGTTCGTGAACAGTAATGGCTAGTGTTTAAGAGAAATATAAAATCTCCTATCCTAAGTTAATTGGCCTGTTTCATTGATAATACGATGAGCATGTTTACATAATTTGAAACTATTTTTCATGACGGTTTTCACTAAAATAACATTGATCACCAGATGGAAGTTAGAAATAATACAGCTTTCACAACTGTAATAGTAGCATTTACACGTATGAATTTAAAGACTGCTTCGTGGACAAATAAATACACGGATATTTACACGATTATAGAGTTAAGACTGAAGTAAGTAACTAGTGAAATTCGAGTTATTTTATCTGAAGAATAACTAAATCGTGGTATCTGTTTTGGAGTTGTGACCTCTGAACTTTTTATATACACACGCTTGCGCATGTGTGTGTGTGTGTGTGTGTGTGTGTGGTTTATTTTAAACGCTTATCACTTGAATTTTGATTTACAACAATTGAAAGATTTATTTGTTTGTAGTTAAGCACAAAGCTACACAATGGGCTATCTGTGCTCTGCCCACCATGGGTATCGAAACCCGGTTTGTACCGTTGTAAGTCCGCAAACATACCGCTGTGTGTCTGGAGGACACAATTGAAATAAAATGTAGTTTTGACGTCACATGCAGAATGGAGTGTTTCAAAAATGGAGTTCAAGATTTACAAAAATACTAATATGAATTTATTAAGTGCTGCTGTGTTTTACCACAGTTTAGTTTGCACGAGATAATCTGAATTGAAAGTGTATACGACTTCAAAACAGTGCATTTTGAAGACAAGGGGGGTGTTATCCCCTACCACACTCATTTATAGGAGGAGCTTCATTCAACAAATGTGCAAGATATATTTGAATGTACTGTAATACATTACATTATGAAGTTAGTAGAATGGGATTCAGCTTTTTCTGTACGTTGTGAAATAAGGATGGTGTACAAGCCTGATATGAAACGTATTTAGTTATCCAAATTGTTGCTTTTATTGGTCACGAAAGATGAACTGTACGAGTATTTTAGCTCCGAGTACAGAACAAATTAAATAGAGTATCCTCATATCTTCTATTGCTAGCTAGATGATACTCTCTCTCAAAATGTGAATAATTCAGATGGTTGGACTTAAACGGTTTAACATAATATTTCTTACTTTATTTATCTTAAAACAATTTAAAAAGCCAAATTTCTAAAATTTAGCTAATGTATTTAAAACACGAAGTTATACACGTATACATGCATATTTGTTAAAAATCGATAAACATGTGCAACTTCTTAATATTAATTGTTTCTTAGCAACTTATAATATCACTCTTTGCACCAAAGTTACCACCTTCACTGTATACGCGGATTAAGATCACGGATCGATTTGCTTAGTAGCCATGGTTACCGCCTACCAAAGCGATTCTATTGTACTCTATACTGTTCAATTCTGTTGCATACGAATCTGTCTAGCTTCCTGTCGTGGAAGTTTGTTTCGAATTACTTCCTCATACATATTTAATTCTGTTGCATACGAATCTGTCTAGCTTCCTGTCGTGGAAGTTTGTTTCGAATTACTTCCTCATACATATTTAATTATGTTGCATACGAATTAAACTCTGAATAGCATTCGAAAAAGAATACTTAAGTTCTGAACACCGGTGCAAAATTTATTTCCTTTTAATTTAGAATGTCATAGTAAATTATCAATGTTTAGTATGTAGATTAACAGCTTGTTAATTTCTGTTGTGTGTTGTTATACAAATCGGTTAAACAGCAAAACACAGATTGTCTTGTAAGTAATAGCTGTAAAGTTGGTACTCCCTACCATACCAAAGCTTCAAGTCAAAGAGAATGAGAAATACCAAAGTTATTTACAAATCACGTAGAATAATCCAGAATAAAATCCAAATTGAGTTGTTGTTGTTTTTATAGATAAATGTCGAAAGCAAGATTCAAAGTTAAGAACCCACTTGTAGTTAATAATTAAAGTTAAGAACCCACTTGTAGTTAATAATTAAAGTTAAGAACCCACTTGTAGTTAATAATTAA